GATATCACTAATTACCCCCCAAGTTTCAGCAGAAAATGAAAAAGGGTATAATGATATTACCTGTGGCACGACTAGAAGTGATATGCTAGCATACAGAAGATCGATTGATATTCCTTGGAACTTAAACTTCATGACTGGGACATGAGCATCGGTAACAGGTTGAAGCTCAGTGACTTCTTCCATCTCAACCAACATATCACGCAAGATGATGAAGAAATCCTCCTGTGTAAATAACCTGTTAGAAACTCAAACTGCCAGACCTTTACATCAGTAAGATGTGATTTTAGGAGTCACCTCGCGGTTAACATAAGATGGGCCAACACACAAAGTATCAATATCTGCCCCAGGACCATGTACCTGCAAATTCAACAAAATCAAGCTTTTCACCTTCTAGTACTAGTAATGTAGAGGCGAACACAATGTTACTTTTCTTGATTTAAATGATACTTGAAGACTATTCACAAGCCTCAAAGGAAAATCTATGATCCTATCAAGGCAAAACCTTTCGCCAAACAGATTACATGCAGTTAAACTTAAATTCTAAATTCAAAGCACTTACTCCAAGGCGGTAAGATCCAAAAGTGAAAATGACAGCATTTGCGTCCTCCACCATCTGATCTGTATAGCCCCTCTCATGGGTTAACTGTTTCACCCAGTGTTTTACAATCTATACAAGAAGTTTGAGGAAAAAGACGCATTAGATGAAAAAGCTAGTATTATGAAGTCACAGTAGACACTGAAAGGAGATACAAGTTATACATCACTCTTTAAACAATTGATCTCAAATTTCACAAGCAAAAAACCCTATTAGCATAAGGAAACTTGGGCCTATTTTACATCGAATAAAAAAGCAGCTAACTCAAAATCAAAAAGCAGGGTATAAATAGAACTCAGATGAGCCGGTACACATAGAAGGCCTAGACTACGTAATGCTCCAATAATTTTGAAACACTGCTATATAATTACGATATAGAAATCTTTAGGCTAAACATAACGAAAAGAAAACACCTTGACTAATCGAGAAACAAGTCTAAGAGTAATCATCATGAAAAAGCTAATTTCCATTATCCAGTACTTGAGGAACCAGTTAATGAGAGTATTCACCTGATCAATGCGTCCCAGAACTTCTTCTCTCCGCGTGGTTTCTTCCTTGATCTCGTACAGCCCCTCGTCAACCAGGAACTTACCCCCAAAAACAAAAGTAAGTCAAAATCCCATAGTTCCGGCGAAGCAAAATTTTCATCGGAAAACAAATACAAAGCAATTATTACCTTCTCCAGCTCCGAATTACGCTTAACATCAGCTGCGGAAGGTCCAGCAACAGAAAGCGGTTTCGTGATACCATAGCTCTGAAGAGCTTTAACCGGTGGCGAGCGTTGAGTACCCACCATGGTAAAGACCAGCAAACCCTAGGCGATCCAAGCACAACAACAGCACAGGAATTTAAATTATCGCAGCAGAGCATCTACGAGGAAAGGGAGTCATGGCGGAAAAGAAGAAGACAAAGTGAGAGGAGCGAGAAAAAGAAAGCTCGAAAACGAAATCGGAAACCCTAAATCGATGGAAAGGGAAAGCGACTAAGAATTTCAAAGAAAGTCAAAAAAAGGGAA